TGCAAACCCAATATACAGCGCATAAACAAGCTAGGAAATGGGGGGGGGGGGCAATCCCCGGGAGGAAAGCCGTAAGCAGCGGTGGCATGATGACGAATCCCACTTCGCCTTCTCAGTAAATGACAATAAAAATAGTCAAAATTGAACGATATGGACAGGTTTCAAAATGCGTCGCATGTCTAGTGGGGAAGTAAAATACAAATATTTGACTATGTTTGCTTTAACTGACACACGTGCATCAGGGAGATTCATCTGGCGTAGGAGGGGGGGGGGGGCAATCCCCGGGAGGAAAGCCGTAAGCAGCGGTGGCATGATGACGAATCCCACTTCGCCTTCTCAGTAAATGACAATAAAAATAGTCAAAATTGAACGATATGGACAGGTTTCAAAATGCGTCGCATGTCTAGTGGGGAAGTAAAATACAAATATTTGACTATGTTTGCTTTAACTGACACACGTGCATCAGGGAGATTCATCTGGCGTAGGAACTGTGCCAAACATTTCAGGCGAGTTATTCGCTGTGGCGACCCCTGACTGACAGTGACTAAGTTGAAAGTCAAACAACAGTCCACAACTGTGTCATTCAACGAAGTGCGTAAGTAGGAAAGCGGGGGAAATTTATTCTCGTGAATAAAGATAAGTATGTTCGTAAATAAAAGCTTAAGAAATGTGTTTAGAAGCGCTGAAGTGCGTCAAGTACTGTCCGTTTTTCACTTTGCAGCAGATAACGTTTTGATTAAGATGGTTTAGATGCGCTTTCAAGAATGCGCAAATATTCCATGTTCAGATCACTTCGCGTCCCCAAGCCCAATTCTCACCTCCATTACTTGAGCGCCACTATAGACGCACGGTGGATCCTAACACTTCCGAGGGATCCCGCGTGTCGAGTCTTCAACCTGCGCAGCTGTGAATTCTCTGTTGTCTGTGTGAAAATTGCACTGCATTCTTTCCTTATGCCTTTAAGGTACGTGCTGCTGCTGCTTATCCTATTTGCCATTCCCGGGGTGGTGATGAGCGTGGCCTATGGACTCATCTCCCGGGAGCTTTACAGAGGGATCCAATTTGAGATGGGCCACAAAAAAGACTCGACAGGTGAGGACACCCGCAGAGCTTGACAGATAGAATACAGATGACGGGGAAAATCATCAGAATTTCCCTGAGGGGAATTTCGCCGTCAAGGAGAATGACTTAACATGGGAACATGCCCTATAAGTATGATGCTCAAAAGGTTGCATCACCTAGCGCGGTACAGTAATCCCTCATTTTTCGCGGTTAATAGGAACCAGAAACCCCCCGTGAAAAGTGAAAACCACAAGGTAGTATTTGTCCCCCCCACCACCCCTCGCCCAAGGAATTTTTTCGTGTATGCGTGTACCAGCATGTTTAAAATATGTAAACAGTATATGTCAGGGGTGTCAAACTTATTTTTTGTCGCAGGCCACATTTTAGTTACCGTTTCCCTTGGAGGGCCGTTATGACTGAAACCATATAATTACGATTTATTCAACTATTGTTTAAGTTTCTGTAATGAGGGGTTTGGTCACAAGAAAATGCTTACAATATGTCTCTAATTTATTTAATATGAGAATTTTGGGAGAGATTTCAGCAAGCATCATGGAAGTGGACATGTTTGATTTGCTTTCGCGGGCCACATAAAATGATGTGGCGGGCCAGATCTGGCCCCCGGGCCTTGAGTTTGACACTTGAGGTATACGTGCTGGATTTGAAAGAAAGATTACAACAGTGCACTTATTTACTGAAATCTTTCATTATAAAACCTTCTACAGTAATTAACACTCGTACAGGCTTTCGTTTCACTTGGAGACTCTTCTGCTCAAGGCGCTGACGGTGTAGCTGATGTTTTTAAATTGGGGAAAAACATGGTGAGGGTTTGTGCTGTGACGTTCATTTTGTCTGAAATAGGTTTAAGGTTTCTTTTTTTTTTTTTAATCAATGTTTTTTTTTTTTTGAAACGAAGACAAAAACTCTTGCCTAGCTGATAGTTTCGGCTCTCACTTCAGCCTTCATCTGAGCTGTCACTGCTTCCATGTGACGTATCTAAAATACAGCTGACCGGGTCTGGAAAGCTTCAAAATGAGGCTCCTCAACCCGCTCAAGGCTGAGAACAAACCTCCTGCCGCCGCTGAAGCAATGTGTCATTGTTGATGTGACCCCGTGGAGAGACGAGCGGGTTTACATGCTCCCACACACACATGACGCGTTGCTTCGGCGGCGGCAAGGGGTCGGAATGTAGCTCAACTAATCCCCCCAAAAATTAGCATGAAAACAACACTAAGATAAAGTATGCGAAACAGTCAACAGCAGGATGAGACTAGGGAAGGTGCTGGGTGAGGCTGCTTTGATCAGCTCACGGGATAAATCCACTTGTGCTCTCATTGGTCGACGTCGCGCTGGGAACCAATCACTTAGAATGAGTGCCCGTGGCATGTCCGGTACAGTACAGGAAACAACGCATCTTTCCGCAATATGTCTGCCGATATGGCAGGATTTTTTTCATTTTATTTTATTTTTTAATGAATACAAAATTTTGGAAAAAAACCTGCAGAGCCACGAGAGATTACCATAAGAATCAATTTAAAGAATTTTCATTTGCGAGTTCGTAATAATGATATGACAACAGCCTGAGATTTCCATTTCTTCATGGCCATCGTTGCACGTTTCTTTTTGCCTTTACAGGTACCACCCTGTGGTGGAATTGCAAAAATGAATTCAATAAGAAAACTAAGAACACACAGTAGAAGCTGTAGATCACACACTTCTGCAAACACTTAGATGCAGAGTGGGGGGGGGGGGTGTTGTGAGTTGGATTCCACTGCTTGCAACAACCAACATAATAAGCACATTGTCAAATGAGTACCTCAGTGGCTGAGCGAAAATTATCTTTGGAAAGCCCGGTGCTGTTATATTGGATCTCATTTTACCAGCAACCCCCCCTGCATGATTTTTGTCGAGATGAATCCAATTGTGACTGTAACGATTTCATTAGCAACATGGCATCATGATGTGCTCTGGGTGATGAGGTGCTCTTTGTAACCGTTAGTGTACTTACAAGAGGGTCTGGAATTGAGAGTCGAAGAGCGGAGGATGTCGGAGGATGGAATTGGCTGGCAGCTGCAGGCACGGATGTCGCCATCTGTTTGGCCTTACATGGAAAGAGGTTGTCTGAAAAAGAGACAAGCTGATATTTAAAAAAAAAATTTAAATGGCGAAAAAAGTCCAAGTGGAAATCCGATAAAAGGGATAAAAACTTTCCGGGGAGATTTTATGGAAGGTTAATGGAAAATGAGGCAAATTGAATAATCCATTAAGAATATTCTATGTGTACTTATATTGACGTAAAAGTGGGACCTCCAAAGTCAGACATGTCCTAAAGTCTATAAATTTTTACAACATTGAAATGGATGGTCGGATGCAGATGAGCATGACTTCACACATGATGGTTTGTTTGTCTTTAGGTTGAGTTTGTCCAGCTTTTGGGGCGTGAAGCCTTGACTGTCTTGAATCAAATATTTGAACGAAACGATAATTTGTCATTTCTCAGATGGTTAGGAGAATTAATCTGAACATTTTTTTTCCATGCCGGCATTGTAGAAGGAAAATAAAAATAGTCATCATGCTGCAGGGCAGTGCGCAATTTAGTCTAGTCTAGTGGTCTTAGTCACTGGCAAACATAATCAAATATGTTTTCGCACTGTGGAGCCTTGGTAGTAACCAAGGCAACTGCAGGCAGAGATTGTAGAATGAAAGAATAGAAACATTCAAAATATGTACATTGTCTTCATTAAAGATATAAAATAATGGTTGCTTCTATGAGAGCGTGGAATAAACAGTCGTTTTTCATTGGTAGGAAACACTATTGGCTGTCAATTATGAGCTTATAGTTCCGTTTGCGTGGCGAATCATTTGATCATTTCCTCTTTTGGTTAGGAATTGTGTTTCCTATGTTTGTCTCGATTCCCTGTCTTTCATCTGATTATTGGTTCTGCCTGCGTCTCGTCAGCTCAGCCCTCCACCTGCGTCTCGGTAGAATTATGAAACCAGAATGTACATCCATCCATTTTCTGTACTGCTTATCCTGCTCTGACTAAGGTGCAGGAAAGTCGGCTATGTGAACCACTACACGACAAACGGCCAGAGTGAAGTGCATCACCAATGCCAAACTGTGCACTGTTGATAGTTTGTTGTGATGGTACAGTATATCCTGTGTACAGGTTTACCGCATATGGCCGGTAATTCCATGGCACCTAAATGGACGGAAATCATTTTCAGCTTTGCCCTTTGACCTGAATGTCCGCTCACCGACTGACACGGAGCGATTTTCACAATAATTGGTTTTTCATCATGCGTCTTTGCTGTTCTTCAGGGGCATGGGTGAGACTTTTGGAGGTGCCCAATTGATGACGAGGGCACATGGAACAAGAGTTTCAAACACACAGTGCTTCAATATCTCGACCACTATGTACGTTTCAAATCTCTGAAAAATGACAAGAGTAATGTATACAAAAACAATATGTGTTTGGCTTTCGTGTACCAGGAGACTGCTTGAATTAAAACCTAAATTGGCGACAGGACAATTTTATCGTTGAAGAGGCACAGACAAGCTTTCACAAACACACACGCACACAATATACAAAAGGTTTGGTCATCAAGTGCAAAGGCCTTGCACACACAAATCAAAAGACAATGTCCTGCTCCATACAGTATTGAAGCGCGCCCCAACAAAATTCGAATAAACAATTTGAGACGGATATTTTGGTGTGCTTTCGTATTGAAATATTCAATTGAACCTCATTTTATTAATAGAGCACTAAAAACTGGAGCTGAAGCAAAGTACTGTAAATAAATAAAAGACATGACAATTGAACAAAATGAAAAAAAACCCAAAACAATAAGAGTAAGAAAAACAAACTAAAATAAGGACTCAAAGTCACATGCTGTGTTGAAAACCAAGGAATAAAAGCATATTTTCAGACAGATTTGAAAAAAAATGAACAAGGAAGGGGGCTTGGTTGATTTGTGCTGTGAAGTCAAATCCCCATCCCTCAGAGCTTCCACTTCAGTACCTCCATGAAGAGCAGATCGGCTAACCCAAGGCACCAGGCAGGATCGTATGGAAGGAGCAGCTCAGAGAGAATACTTGAAAACAAGTAGCTGAATCTTAAAATGAACTCTAAAGTGCACAGACAGCCAGTGGCGATAGGCCAGAATAGGAGTTTATGTGCTCCCTCTTATGTGTTCCAGTTAAGAGGCGAGCAGCAGTATTTTGGACCAACTGGAGACGCTTGAGGAAGGACTGGATTTGTCCAAAGAAAAGTCCATTACAGTTAGTCAGCAGTGATGTGATGAAGGCACAAACTAAAAAAAAAAAAAAAAAATACCTTGTACGGCACAGGTTAGCGGCCCTTGAGGACCAAAATGTATGAAAATGACCCAAATCACTGGTTGGAGGATAGCAGTCATCTACTTAGAAATGGCTCAATACTTAAGGTCTCACAAACCTTTGTGAAGCTCTGACTCAAAGGGCCAAAGACCAAATTAGAATTTTTCGATTTGTCAAGGGTTAATTTCTCGCACCAGATAAATAGCGTCGAAAGAAAGTGAAACTCTCTTTTTTTGCTGCTTAATTAATACAGACGTGAAGAATGGCCTGACTTCAACCATGTCGTGCGGCAGTGATGACGGTGACGGCTGCTACGTCAACGTCCAGCGTCCTTACTCGCTGGAAATGTCCGCGATGTCCGCCTCCGTCAAGAGGCCCAGGGCGGACCGGCCACGCAGCAACACGTCGGAGGCCAAGCTGGAGGCCAAGAAGCGAGTCATCCGCATGCTGGTGGTAATCGTGGTCCTCTTCTTTCTGTGCTGGATGCCTCTGTACTGCATCAACACTTGGCGAGCTTTCGATGACAATTCAGCCAAAAAAGCTCTCTCCGGCACACCCATTGCCTTTATCCATTTGCTGAGCTACACCTCCGCCTGCGTCAACCCCATCATTTACTGCTTCATGAACACCCGTTTCCGGAAAGCTCTGCTCGCTATGTTCTCCTGCTGCGCCGGCCCTTGCCGTCACCACCGCCGCCGCCACCGCCGCGGGCTGAGAGACAACGAAGAGGACGTTACGGCCATGGGACCTTCCATGTCCAAGTTTAGTTACACAACAGTCAGCACCATGGGAACATGCTGAGGATGAAAGAGGCGAGTCCGATCAGGAAGAGACAGTTACTGGAACAAGGCGGCGTACAACATCCGCTTTGTTTAGGCCTACGCGAAAGCAGTTAGCATAATGTAGCGACAGCGAAGCTTAAATATATGATTGTGAGAAAATAAATAGGGGTATTAACAATTCCAGTGTCTCAATGGACGGTATATACCTCAACGGATACAAAAACAGAAGGTGTTAGCTTAGCTGTTCTATCAGTTCACGTCCAAACTACAGCTGTCCCATTTTTTTATTTATTTATTTTTGTTACCTGTTGGCGTGTCCTAAAATTGACTGCTTCAACTACACTTGTTTAATATGTACGAGCTTTTCTAGATTTACAAAAATGAATCAACATTTCTCTTCATAGTGGCCAAAACTATAAATATAGCTCAGCGAAAATCATAAATGACAAATTGTTTGGTCAACTTTTTGCTCCGTGTCAAGGTCAGCTGAGTAGAGATTTCCGGTCAAATTCCTAAAAATTATTATTATTTTTTAAACCAGCTAGCTGCTTTTTGATAGCTATATATATATATATATATATATATATATATAATGTATAGCGCTGATTATATCTTAACCTACACAGATCTGTGACTGTAAATAAATGAAGGGTGACGAATGTCAAAGGAACCCTTGCGTCCTTCAATTTGCCTGTATACACACCTTGGAAGAAAATGTTTGGACAACTTTTGTTAAATAATGAAACTTGCCAACTTGGTGGACCGTCAGTGAAGAAAATAACGTGTGAAATATTTCTGTCACCTATTTATTGACATGATTGTTATCAATGGTAATTCAGCTGCCTTGTGCAATAAGTGCCTGCGTGTTGTTAATATTGTTCTTGGCAGTGCAACGTCATGGCAAGTACTTGGACTTGAGACGTGTTGATGTAGACTGAAAAGATGAAGCAACTTGAAATCATAAGAACTGGAATCTGGCGCGGTGGCACTGTCAGAAATCCACGGAAGAATTCTATGAGATCTTTTCCAAGTGTTAAGGAAGCCAGCATTTAATTGCAGATTATAATGTGATTCAAATGTATACAATAGTAGCTTGAGGTATGAGTTGAATTTGTTCCGTGTGTTTGTCTTATTTAATGAATATTTAAAAGTGGGCTTACTTTTTTTCCATTCTGGAATTTTGCTTGGCAGGGAGGACGGTGACGGCTGCTACGTCAACGTCCAGCGTCCTTACTCGCTGGAAATGTCCGCGATGTCCGCCTCCGTCAAGAGGCCCAGGGCGGACCGGCCACGCAGCAACACGTCGGAGGCCAAGCTGGAGGCCAAGAAGCGAGTCATCCGCATGCTGGTGGTAATCGTGGTCCTCTTCTTTCTGTGCTGGATGCCTCTGTACTGCATCAACACTTGGCGAGCTTTCGATGACAATTCAGCCAAAAAAGCTCTCTCCGGCACACCCATTGCCTTTATCCATTTGCTGAGCTACACCTCCGCCTGCGTCAACCCCATCATTTACTGCTTCATGAACACCCGTTTCCGGAAAGCTCTGCTCGCTATGTTCTCCTGCTGCGCCGGCCCTTGCCGTCACCACCGCCGCCGCCACCGCCGCGGGCTGAGAGACAACGAAGAGGACGTTACGGCCATGGGACCTTCCATGTCCAAGTTTAGTTACACAACAGTCAGCACCATGGGAACATGCTGAGGATGAAAGAGGCGAGTCCGATCAGGAAGAGACAGTTACTGGAACAAGGCGGCGTACAACATCCGCTTTGTTTAGGCCTACGCGAAAGCAGTTAGCATAATGTAGCGACAGCGAAGCTTAAATATATGATTGTGAGAAAATAAATAGGGGTATTAACAATTCCAGTGTCTCAATGGACGGTATATACCTCAACGGATACAAAAACAGAAGGTGTTAGCTTAGCTGTTCTATCAGTTCACGTCCAAACTACAGCTGTCCCATTTTTTTATTTATTTATTTTTGTTACCTGTTGGCGTGTCCTAAAATTGACTGCTTCAACTACACTTGTTTAATATGTACGAGCTTTTCTAGATTTACAAAAATGAATCAACATTTCTCTTCATAGTGGCCAAAACTATAAATATAGCTCAGCGAAAATCATAAATGACAAATTGTTTGGTCAACTTTTTGCTCCGTGTCAAGGTCAGCTGAGTAGAGATTTCCGGTCAAATTCCTAAAAATTATTATTATTTTTTAAACCAGCTAGCTGCTTTTTGATAGCTATATATATATATATATATATATATATATAATGTATAGCGCTGATTATATCTTAACCTACACAGATCTGTGACTGTAAATAAATGAAGGGTGACGAATGTCAAAGGAACCCTTGCGTCCTTCAATTTGCCTGTATACACACCTTGGAAGAAAATGTTTGGACAACTTTTGTTAAATAATGAAACTTGCCAACTATATATATATATATATATATATATATATAATGTATAGCGCTGATTATATCTTAACCTACACAGATCTGTGACTGTAAATAAATGAAGGGTGACGAATGTCAAAGGAACCCTTGCGTCCTTCAATTTGCCTGTATACACACCTTGGAAGAAAATGTTTGGACAACTTTTGTTAAATAATGAAACTTGCCAACTTGGTGGACCGTCAGTGAAGAAAATAACGTGTGAAATATTTCTGTCACCTATTTATTGACATGATTGTTATCAATGGTAATTCAGCTGCCTTGTGCAATAAGTGCCTGCGTGTTGTTAATATTGTTCTTGGCAGTGCAACGTCATGGCAAGTACTTGGACTTGAGACGTGTTGATGTAGACTGAAAAGATGAAGCAACTTGAAATCATAAGAACTGGAATCTGGCGCGGTGGCACTGTCAGAAATCCACGGAAGAATTCTATGAGATCTTTTCCAAGTGTTAAGGAAGCCAGCATTTAATTGCAGATTATAATGTGATTCAAATGTATACAATAGTAGCTTGAGGTATGAGTTGAATTTGTTCCGTGTGTTTGTCTTATTTAATGAATATTTAAAAGTGGGCTTACTTTTTTTCCATTCTGGAATTTTGCTTTCCAGACAAATTGTGATCAGAGTGTGTAGCTACCTTAGGTCAGCGGTACCAACCCTTTTTTTCCGCCGCGGACCGACAACTATACACCGATCGGGGATGGCTTTGGAGGGGGAAAGGCAATTCTACAATCCACACAAACCCATTGTTTGTTTTTTTTTGCCTCAAATATGGAATGAAGTGTGGAATGCCTTACCAATGTGATTAGCCACCAAGTGTGACACTCTGAAGGGACTGAAATTTGTTGACAAATCAGTTTTGAAAGCTTCGTTGACTCATTGGAGAGCCGCTCGCCATATATTGTGCAGATATGGCTGAGTTCGTCCGTGTGAATCACCTGTAGCCGTAAATCCAGAGTTAAAGTAACGTCTTTCTTCTTGGGCAGAGCCTCTTGTGTCTAATCATCACTTGCCCCTCCATTGCAAATAAACTTTCTAAATATGTCTACATTACTCATTTTGCTCGTTTGTGGATTAAAAATTCGCGTTGCGCCAGACAACTTGGCAACAGTCAAGATTCATTCATAGACGGAATGGAGAGAATCTAGTCACTTTTCAAAATATTTTTTTCTGCCTCAGATAAATAAACCATAAGTATTGTACGTTTTTTTTTTTTCTTCTTTTCTTTTTTCATGTGTGTGGTACCTGTCCGCATGCCACTTCGGACCGGGCTGCGTCCGGGTGGTTGGGGACCATTGCCTTAGATGATATCATGTTATATGTTTTTAAACAGCAAAATCATTGAGTGAATCAACAGCATCTATGCTAGTTGCTTCAGAGTAGTGCACTACACTCCCCGCCCACTTCTGATTGCTTCAATGCGCAATTAATCACCAGTCACTTCCACAAAATCCACAGAATTCTTAATTAATTAGCAGATTATGACGCACATCCCTAATTGCAGTAGTCTTGTCTAATCATCATCGGACATGAGTTGTTTTTACAACATGCAGATACCTTTAATGCACGTTATTATTAATAATTAATTTTATTAACTTCAAGTGGCACGGTGGTTGACTGGTTAGCACGCTGGCTTCACGGCGCAGAGGTGCAGGGTTCGGTTCGCTTCCTGTGTGGAATTTGCATTTTCTCCCCGTGCCTGCGTGGGTTTTCTCCGGGTACACCGGTTTCCTCCTGCATTCCAAAAACATGCATGGCAGGCTGATTGAACACTCTAAATTGTCCCTAGGTGTGAGCGTGGTTGGTTGTTCGTCTCTGTGTGCTCTGTAATTGGCTGGCAACCGGTTCAGGGTGTCCCCCGCCTACTGCCCGAAGACAGCTGGGATAGGCTCCAGCATGCCCTGCGACCCTTGTGAGGATAAAACCGGATTGGAAAATGGATGAATGGATATTAGGATGAATGGACATTTTCCAAATGATCCCTTCTACATCCAATCCTAGAAAATCACAATGTCCCATCACTGGTGAGCTACTTTTAGAACAGGATCACGGGCTTTTCAGTGGCCTTCACTTGTGATAATTAGTTTTTTTTTTTTTTTTTTAAATGCAACAGCGTTACCTTTCAATATTTAACCGCGGCACAGAGGGTCTCATGTAATTGTAAATAAGGCACCTTTTAAAGACACACGCTCCTACATAACAAACAGGCAAGCTTCATCATTACTGCCTGGCTTCGACCAGTATAATGTCTGTCGAATAGCAAGACTTTCATTGTTATCGTCGATACATACCCGTAGCACCGTAGTGGTTGCTAAGAGTATAAACTACGTATTTAAATGAATCACAGGTTATTAGGGCATCCTGACCCAAGATCCCTTGTATGTGCATGTCTCTAAATACTTTTGGGCTTGTAGAAATCTATCGCAATATCAACTTTGCTTATGAGTGACAGAAGATGGAAAGCTTTTTTATTTTTTGTGTGAGAATAATTTCCCTGTAGTGTCACAAAGGTTGTGTGATGTCGACACACGCCGCGGCTCATCCACTTGCCACTCACACTGACATCATCTTATTAAATTTGTTGCGGCAAATAGATTCCGCTCATTTTCCTTCGGGTGCAATTCATACCGAGCATACGGTACAAGCATGTGAGATGTAACTGATGACTATTTGTGTTTGATTATGGTTTAGTCATGATGCACCCCAATAGATTGAGTTGGACATTGCAATGAGGGCGATTACAAAGTGAGCCTAATTGCATGCGTTGATAGGGAACTGCGACAGAACGTGAGTCTTAACTACCAACTGTAAGCTGTCGGCCTCCACAATATGAGACACGCGGTGTGAAGGCGAATTTCGTTACAATGATTTAGATGAGATTGCTTTTTGAAAGTGCCGCAAGAACCCTAATATATAATCTAATATGGGAAGAAAGCACAAAAATATGATTGGATTCCAGAAGAGTCTATCCGCA